TAATTATATTAAGATAATAGTATAGATATAAGTATAAGAGTTTAATATACTAAGATAACATTAAATTATAAGAATAATATAATATATTAATATATTTAATGTATGTTATCTTCATATATTACACTCTATTTAATGTATGTTATCTTAATATATTACACATATATTAAGATAATAAGATATAAGTATAAGGTAAGATTTTAATATGGTAAGATAACATATTAAATTATAACAATAATATAATATAATAATATATTTAATGTATGTTTTATTTTATTTTAATTTATTTAATGTATCTTCATATATTACACATATATTAAGATAATAAGATATAAGTATAAGGTAAGATTTTAATATGCTAAGATAACACATTAAATTATAAGAATAATATAACATAATAATATATTTCACGTATGTTATCTTAATATATTACACTCTTAATTTATCTAAAACCTTGCGATTTTGAGAAAGATCAAAGAAAAAAAATATTTCGAGATGCTTACAACTCGTTAAATCTGAAATCTGATGCTGCCCCTCGCAATCAATAAGAATGAAAATTATTTGAACTCGTTTTCCGATGTTCCAATGTTTTGCCAGATTCTCCTCGTCAGTTGATCGTCTGTCTCAGCTCATCGAATTTGCTAGGAATTTACCGTGACTCGCAGATTGAATAAAATATTACAACACGTCGGACGAATCGAAACGTAAGCGGCTTAATGGCATGGACGTTCGAAGATGCGATTTGAACCCAGAGAGAGAGAGAGAGAGAGAGAGAGAGAGAGAGGATCGATAACGTGGATCGGGCCTCGAGCGAACGACATTTTTCCACGAATCCGGCGTGGTTTCGTGCGCCTGCACACGATCAGTCCGGCGATATCGTATTATTTAAGGCTACTCTCGCGATGATTTATCGCGGCGAATCGCGCGCTGATACGCGTCGTTACATCGAACCGTGTGCTAACGATGATAACGGCCCCGTCGTTTCAGCCCTGTGCTCGCGTTAAAATCCTGGAATTAGCCGGACAGGTAGATGTACAGCGCTATTCCTTTCGGTATGCATCGTGCGAAAGCGTTTCTAGAACGCTGCTACCGCACCGACAATCAGAGAATTTGCGAATCGTATGGATTGCCGCGGGAAGAATGCCCGGATACCGGCAGATACCCGGTGGTTATAGAAGAAATTCTTGGGAAATTCGTTGGTGAAATGTCGATTATTTACGAGGACAAGCGTGGAATTTCAATAAATATTGCAACAGTCTTTCCTTTTATTCCTGATTCTCGTACGCTTGCTCTCGATTCTCTTCTACGATATTTTGTAGTTAAAAGTGACAAACGTCTCACACTTTCTTCAATAGAAATGAAAAATTTTGGCATTCCAAGTGGAAACATTCGAAATTTCCGCGACGTAACGTAAAACATAAGTTACGAGGGTTTGTAAATTACGATTACTTGAGAGTTAATAATAAAGAATCGTAAATCGTAAATCGTATGCTAACCAAGCGTAATTAGATAATGGTGAATGAAATATGAGATGAAAAAGGGAAATGGGGATAAATAGAACGATCTATACTACTTAACGTGGCTAACGCTTTCGTGTTTCGTACTTATTGTTTGTTTAATATTTCATTACATGTTAATTGTTGTGCATGCTTTTTTTTTTAACTATGTACTGCAAAAACATGTTAAATTAAAACATGTAATTAAAACATGTAAAATTAAAAACAAACTAAAATATAAGGAATTCATTATTAATATGTGTATCAGAAATGTATACTGATATTAGAAAATCAATGTATCTTCATACCCGAAATTTTGGCTGGAATTTACACTATAATAATACACGACTATTGTATCTAATTACGGCATGTGTCCATTTTCTGTTCACAAAATATTCCAGGCAAGAAAATCGTTATTAATGTGTACCAGAAATACGTACCGATATTGGAAGATCCAATGTATTTCATAGACAAAACGTGTACTCAAAATTTTAACCAACAGTATACATTATAATACACGATTATTGTATCTAATTACAATACGTGTTCATTTTATATTCGGAACAAACTAAAATATTCTACCGGCAACGAAATTATTATTAATACGTACCAGAAATGTATACTGGTATCAGGAAATCAATAAGTTCCATACATTCCATACATTTCATACACAAAACGTGCGCCCAAAATTTTCACACGTTGCAATAGACGATCATTGTGTCTAATTAGAATAATTAGAAAAACATGAGCTAATTGAAAAAAATTGACAAACATACACACATTTGTTCACATTTCGTTCAAACTCGAAATGTTCTTCAACGTTAGAAGAATACAATTGGATCGAAAATAATGCAGGATTACTTTTGGATTAATCAATCGTTTGTTATTTGAGCTGATCGCGCGCGCGAGAGATTGGATGAATCGAGATCGTGAAAGTTTGTGCGAGCTGAATGAAGCAAGGAGGCTGGCGTGATTCGGATCGTCAAAGTAAACTGCGACTTTTACGAACGTACGAGGCGTATGAATGCTTCATTCATCGGCACGAAAAGCAGTCGGGTGAATGGGTGTCTCTCATAAGCGCAGATATCTACGCGTGATACCTGCGACGAAGCTTAAATGGCCCATGAATTTCCTCGTTACTTTTTTCTCCTTGCCCTTCCGTCCATTCCGCCCACGAATTTTTATCGTCCGATCTACCGTGTGTTCCAATTTCAACGAGAAACTGCTGAAATCGACTGTATTCTTCTCGGGAGAAATCGCTGATATTAACTCTTTGACAACAGCGAACGATAATGTGCGAATTTTATTAGTCGCACATGCCGATCTTTGATGACGTGAAATTGTGTAAATTTACGTACTTTAAAGATTTTGATAAAAGGAAAAGAAAAGCTTTACCCCTCTTTCTCTTGAATTCGTTTTATTTCTTGATTCTTCGTCAAGTCATTATAAATTTTCTACAGTTCCTGCGTAAGTCTAAAATGAAATCACGCTTTGGTAGTTTTAACGTTTCAAAGTTGTCAAATTTGTACATCAGAAATATTTT